GGTAACTTAATATTCCAAAAGTCCAAGTCTCATCGGTGGACGTGGGAGTTATCCAGTGGTGAGTGCCACAAAAAAATAGTCCACGTATAAGTAAATCGAAGGTTTGCCTAACCAATGTCAAAATTCTACTCGGTATCATCCAACGCTTCCTTCGAGGAGTATTGCATTTTGCGCAAGAACGAAAGAAGTTTGCCAAATTTAAACAACGAAATTCCAGAACTACCTTAAACTGCGATATATACAAATCACTGGTCAGCTCTTAGAAAGATAGCGTCACTAGCACTATCGACTAAGATCACGACCGGTTTATACAATATCCTCACGTTAGCGTAATCAATGCCGAACGTCCAAAGGTTACCAAAAAACGTTTGTCTTTCTAAATACTCGAGCCAATAAGTCAATGTGCAATCGCATGAGCCACAGGCAACTGACAACGCACATATAAACTGTCAAAGCGCTGCAATTGAGCGATAAAAGATCTCAGAGAAGAGCAGAGTTGAGACTCAAACTGTGAAAGCCGGAAAGAGCGTTGGCAAAGCCCGCACAAGCTTCAAGACTAAGCTGATCTCAATTCGACAGGTGGACCGAGCACTTCTAGCTTGCGGAACGATATTGAGCAAAATCGTACACGATTGCAATTCAGCTCTCCTCACTAATCGTATCTTCCTGTTTTTGTATAATTAAAAGTGGTCGGATTTGTAGTCTCAGTTCTGAGTGCCTTAATCATGCTTAACAAATGAAGGTACCGAATGCTCCAGTTGCGCTTATTTAGGTCAGGAAGTCAGCATGATGAACGACCTAGCTGCGGAGTTGTGCAGGAGGAAGCGAGCGGTCTGTGGAGCACCAAGGATGTAGTGAATAGAACAAAAGCATTCGACTCCGTGCCGACCTTTTCGACTTGACGGCTATTTTTGTCCTAACGTATGCAGCAGAAACCTGGTCGCTACATAAGCAGGATGAAAGATCACTTGGCGTTATTGAACGCGCCGTCCAGAGGTCGATGCTATGATAACCCCATTTCTCACAAGTGAGAGAAAGGTTTCGAAGTTGCGACCTACGTCAGCTATCGAAATCAAATGCGCTGTTCTTCATGCCAAGATATCGAAAATAAAGTGGGCCGAACATGTAGTGCACTTCAACGACAACCGATGGACGAGAGACGTTAATGGCTGGATTTCTCGAGATGTTAAGCACTCCATAGGAAGATCACCGTCCCGATAGTCCTACTTCTTCACGAAATACTCAAAAGAAAAAAGATGCTTAACAAATTCAGAAGGGAGGATAACTATTGGATAACTATCGGAAGCAGTAGGGAGAAATGGAAGTCTTACTGCTAGCCGCTCGAATCACTCGACCATCAACAGGATGGCAGGATACAGGTAGCCTTACTTATTGCGCAAATCAAGCAGTTTTTCTCATTCAATTTGTAGTCCAAAATCTGTCATCCATGCTGATGTTCACATTTTGCCTGTGGATTCGGCTGCTACTTAAGCCCTCTCAAAATCCTGTATAGCTCCGCTAGAACGCCCCCAGGTTTCCACGACAGCGTAGTTCGCCAGCTTTAATGAATTTAAGTGAACATTTCCCAAGCAATTTCAGTGCTATTTTATAGACCGCGGAGCAATAAATACTCAGTAAATTCAAGGAATAGAGAAAAGGAGTAGAGAAATGGAGAATGGGCAATCAGAATAAATAAATTTTACCTCGTCTGGTTGGAAATTTTGATTACTCGCAGGAACGTGTTTAGTTGAAAAGCGATGATGGAAAAAGAAAATCTCTGATATTAGGTTTTCATTACATATTGTTCGTTTTCCCTCTAAGAATCCACAGCTGTCTGTTAGTAATGAATAATCGTATTTTTTTCAAATCTTTCATTATTATTTGAGCCAACATGCCATGTGGTCTGATAAGGGCTCTTGTACAGCCCGAGACACGTGTTTCGTCCTTACAGACTCCTCAGCCGGGCAGAATCCGTCGTCTGTCGATCTTTTTATAGTGAAATATTTATGAATTTATTTATTTATTTTATTTATTTATTTATCATTATTATTATTTTATTTTTTTATCTATTTATTTTATTTATTTATTTTATTTATTGCAGATCTTTTTTATATTTTTATAGTAATTTTTTGGCTCAAATAATAATGAAAGGATTTATTGAAAATTTGAGTGTGGTCTTAATAAAGCACTCGAAGGAAAGGTATAATACGATAAAAATACCAGCCAGCTAGCAATCGAGTGCGAAAATACTCTGTGTTAGGTGAAAATTTCGCTTGACATAGAGTGTAAAACGTACGTCGTCGACAACTCTCTATAAGGAGTGTAACGCTCCCGAGAGAACTGACTATAAAAAGATCGACAGACGACGGGTTCTGCCGACCTGTTATCGCAATTTACTGCGTAGATCCTATACTTCTTGAACTCAATTCGCTTGCTCGATTTCATCGTTGATAGAAGGTCTTCGAACATTTCACATGTTGGTTTTGTTGTTATACAAGATTTTGTCTTTTGCACTAATTTCGTGGAGTAGTGGTGTGGGACAGATCCTTCACAATCTCGTAGGAACACGAGCTGAGGCGGTTTGTATGACGTTTGTAAATTATTTCAAGGACTGTTGGAAAGGGGGTTGAACCAGAACAGTGCTTCCTGTTTCGCCACGGCTCTCCCCTCAGTCCTAAAAAAATACTATAATAAAATTTTTTCTATTCACTATGAAGAATAATTCTTCTGGGGTCGTAAAATCTAAGTACCATGGAAATGTGTACAGATTAAGTGGCATTCTGTTTTTCCAATTTTATTTACATAACAAAGAGATTTACATCATCACAACAATTGAGATCAATGAAAGAAAGAGATATTCCTTGTTAATAGAACTGATCGTTACCTATGATGATCACCGGCACTTACTACTCGTACTTTTTAGAAAGGCATTCGGAAGACTGGAATCATTGAGCATACATCGAGATAAAGCATACTGTTACCATACGAAGGAACGATTGATCATTTGAAAAAAACAGTCGATTGTTTTCATCATAAAAGTGTTTTAGATGCCTTAACACTTCCGGTCTAACATTGGGATGCCTACGACCTTTAGTTTTTCCCAGACAATGGAGACTGCCATTATGCCGACGGATACATGGAAACTTCTTCAGCGGATCTACCCCAAAATCTTTTTCTTTCACTACTGAAATAACAAGATCTCAGTTTATTCAAAGGAACTGACAGAGCTCATGATTTACCTGATTCAAGTCCGAGAAACTTTTCAGCTTGATTGACCTCTAGAGCCGGAGCAGAAACTAGCTGCTCTCCGTCTACGATGTGGATTTGATTTATTGGAAAATTGTCCAGCCATCTAAAAAAGTACGAATTAATTATCTGAATTCACCGAGTTCTATCGCTTATGTAAACCTCTTCATATGCTGATGATATAATCCAATACGGATTGCTCCCCATCCAACATTGACGCCATCAACTTTCGAAGAACAATTTGTTTTCAGCCACGGCGCACAGTCTCCAACAGCCATGTCTTCGAAAGTCGGTACTCTACCTAGCGCTTTTCTCTTCGATGAAGCTTGCGTATAGTCTAAACAACATAAACAACAGAAAATTCGCATTGGAAGATGGATGGTTCGTTGAACTGCACAAACCTGAGATCGCTCTCATTACCGGGTCCCTCACCACAATGATAATTTTCATGGCTGAATTGAACGCTCGGATTCGCTCAGCTGTGGCTTTGCTGTGAAAATATCCTGGACTCTTTTCGATTGTTAACTGATGTCTGGTGGTTAGAGGCATCTTGTCTCTGTAATGCTATTACTGTTAATTTTTTTTCACCGAGAAAGTAATGAAGTGGTAGAAACTAATCTCCTTTTCTCCTACATCGACAAAATGGATATGATAAAAAAAATTTTTCCAGCATTTAACTAATAGTTCGCTAATAGTTTGATAGAAAATTCAACTAATAATACGCATTGATAAGACTTTTCACCTTATAGATTACTAACTGTATCATTATTAATTACGCAGATTTCAATGATTCATAAGTTTACTAGAATGTTTCATGCCTTTCATGAGCTCTGGTAAAGGTACCTAAAGTAGTATACGCATGTTTCCGGATTCTCGAAAGCCTCACAGTACCAGATGCCCTACGGCTTGTCTTTGCTAATATTAGCATCGGCGCCGAAGAACTATCATTACACGGCAAGTGGAAGAATCACTGATGTTGTGTCCTTCCTGAGTGATTGATTAGCGATTGCATGGTTTACGGATGTTACGGAGCCTATGAAACATACCTTTCAATAGATTATTTTGAGACCTTGCTAAAAAATTCAATATGGTCTGATAGAATGTTTTACACCTTTCATGAGGTCTGGTAAAGACAGCGCTAGGGACATACCTACGTTTCAACGTTCTCGCGTTCCTCATCAGTCCACATGCCCCTACGGCTTCCCTCTGTGTTTTTTCTTTAGTTTTCGATCGACATTGGTGAGAAAATGCATTGTTGATAATATAATGTGGCTTGATTAAAGTCACTAAAAATAACATCCATCTGAAAGCCAAGTTAAGGCCTTAGAGATGCCTCAAATCGACTATCTTCAAGATTACGAGATTAGACTTGATCAGTACTTTACAACATTCAGAAAGAAGGCGAAGCCGTCAAGTAGCACACGAAGCAAATCTGAGCTATTTTCGGATCTTTGGAAGGAGTAAACGCGACGAATACTAGAGAAAGTGAAATCTGCACAGTGAAATGTGTAAAAAATCTTAAGACCGAGAGGGACTACAGACTTTAAAGTTTCACTTAGAGCTTCTTTTCCAGTGCGATGATGTCATAACTACATATCCAATAATGTTTATAGATACCTCTCTGATGTGGAGTGATGCGCAAAACTTTCGTGTCAGGCGGGACTCGAACCCACATGTCACTCTATCCGCCGTTGACGCTTGGCGGCTTAACAGATAGATGCGCTGTAGCGTAGAATGAGTGGTGTGCAAAATGGGCGTCAGTAGTGCAACGGGTCAGAGCACACGCTTCCAGAAAGGTGAGATGTAGATTCAAGTTCCGCCTGACGCGAAAGTTTTGCACATCACTCTACATCACAGGGCATATTTGAAAGTACACACCACCGCTATAAGCGGTTACAAAAAAAGAATTTCATCTGATCATCAATGTTGAAAGGTATGCCAAACTCTGAAGCGCGTGCTGGGGTTGAACCCGCTTCGCACTCTTCCCGGGTCGCTGCTATCCACTGCACTACTGGTGCTCTTTCTCTATCATCACTCATTCTTGGAAGAAAGAGCCACTCGAAGTTCAAAGTTTTGCATATCACTCAACATTTCTGGACACATAGTTTTTGAGAATTCTGTCTTCACATGAGAATATGGAAATGCGACAACTCTATGCCCTTCATCTGTTGTACACTTCACTTAGAAAGTGATCATGCAGTTCTAATTCCTGCCTATTGATTAGAACTCAAAAACAAAAAAATATGGATTTTTTTTCATTGAAGAACAAGGAACAAAGGCGGATAGCGCCATGATTAGTGACGCCGTGCGATATTATACACGTGGTCGCTGGTTTCAACTTTGCACAAAGCCCAGCAAACTCTATTCATTTAGGAGTTAGAACATTGCTACCAGATCTGTGTGGAAAGAGCCACTTCAATCCATAAGGACTCTTTACGGTGAAACGTGAATATAATGTAGCAGAGCATGATTCGAATGAGGATCGTTTCATGATTCAACATTCATGGGGAAGACATCGTACTTATCAAAATATAGTAAAATCGAGTCCTAATACCTTCATGTTCCTCGGGAGGGAGATATCAAACTAAATAAAGCAACTGAAAGAATTCGTAGGATTCACGTAAGGTGTTGCGTTCAAATAAATGAAGCATACAGAAAACATACAAAACAAGAAAACGTGTTGCAGAATTTGTGCTCAAAGATTAAGGGCCGCCGCCTGAACACCACTTCAAATGACTTTTGCCATTTTCACTTTTCGAACTAGTCAATTATTATGGTAACTGAAAGATTAAGTTTATGACATTTTGAGAATAGCTCATAAAGTTTCCTTTTTGGTACTTGATCAACGCAGTCCAACCTGTAATACATTTATTGTTAACGATAAGAAACATGGCAAATGGCAGCAGCTATTAATACCGAGCTTTTAATTGGATTTCAAACTATAAAGAAGCATTGAGTAGTAATTTGCGAAATTAAGAAAATTGCACCAATTGGGATGACGCCAAATTGGTGAATGGCTTTATTATTTATCACACAATTTCTTCGGTCTTTTGAGATGTTCCTAAAGTCAGTTTGCAGCTAGGGACCACTGTTTACAATAAAGTTTAAGCTGAATAGAAAGTTAAGATTGAGCCCTTGCTGAATGCAATAACACCATGAAAGCAGATCATCAGATCATATTGGATGGTAACAGACTAACAAGCTTTTTTTATAAATGGGCGCTACCAAGCGAAGATACATTACTTGAGCACTGTTCCAGTTCAAGATTTGAACACCATGCGCTACGAATATTAACATCACGAGGATGAACGGCTGTGGACAATCAACTCGGATCACCGTTCTTCTGAAGAAGGCGAAGGCGCCGAAAACTATCCAAATAACCCTTCCTACCAAGCAGGTGTTAACTTATTCATTCAAGAAACCATTCTTCATGAACTGACTAAAAATCTTCATAAAGATAAAAATTCAATAACCAAGAGCTACACCTGTAAGTACAGCTGAAAAATTCTGCGGACAATATTCAAGAGTAGCCGTGTTAAGTGTGCTTCTCTAGAATCCAGCCTCCAGTTCCATTCTCGTCATGAGCAACTCCTTGATAATGGTGAGGTGATGAATTTTGCATGTATAATTTGCTGGCTAAACAGTGAGAATAGTCGATATTGGGAAAATAATTTGAAAGCTTTTATCAAAGTTGTCTACCTTCTGGAATCTGTGTATTACATTGGTCTGAGCTGCCATGCTACACACATGAAGATGTCATTGTTCAATCTCATGCCCTTACTGACCAAGCCCTTCATCCCACTGTGATACGCATGCAGTTAACCGCCAGCCTCTCGCATCTTTAGGTTACTCATGCCTTCAGTCACTTCTATGGTGTTATGAATGGAGTCGAATGCATCAGTTGTTAAGAGCGTTGATCAACATCGAACTTTTTGCTCTTTGACAACTGGTACTATTAATCATATACTTACGAGTTCATCTTTTCTATAATATAAAATATTCAGACATAATGAAAATTTAAAACTTTTGGTTACCATAAGTTACAAGATCAGTCTATATCAGATTTTTGTGGAAGCTATTTTGTACATGATAATTCATTGTTCAGCCAACATTAAAACTTGGTACAATTTTGTTATCACAATCCATTTTTCGTCTTTTTGATGGTAATGCCTTTTCCGCTTTTTGCTCAGTTTTTAGTAATCGCTCGATAGCTTAGATATTAGATACCTGCGATTCTAGCACTTGGTTTATTTTCTGAAAAAACCTTTTTGTTGCGCTTTAGCAGCTATATTGAAATTGAGTTACACACTCGGCTCACATCATTGCGAGTACTTTCGTTATATCTCTGAAAATCTTCCCTCCGTTTCGTAATTCACGTATTAGACTTATAGAAGAAACTCATTTCTACATTCCATATGTTCAGGCTTCCATTCGGATCTTCTATTGCCGAATAAACCCGCTACTAAGCTTAGACATATGAGTGCGAAAAGTTATCCTTTTTTTTACTCTTCCAGCTGTCTGTGAAAACCTTTTCAAAACCTGATTTATCCTTAGAATCGACTAAAATCATGTTATCAAATAATTGTGGAAAGTCTGTTAAAAGACCATGCACGGTCTGTGTTCGCTTCGGTGCCTTTTGTTGCGAATGTTGCGAAATCCCACTCACACACTCTAGGCGGGAAAAACTGCGTGCCAAGTGTTGAACTCAATTTTATTTCCGCTATTACAGCGCACTAAAAAAGCCTTTCTAAAACAGAAGTACAGTGATGGAATAAACAAGACTTAGGCTATCGATAGTTACTAAGAGTCTAGGAAAAGCGGGAAGAAAGCTTTGATGCAGAGAGTTGAAAATGGATTGCGGTTACAAAAATATACCTAAAACATTCTTCTTCCCAACAAAACATCTTTCTCCGTAAATTTTGTTTCGAGGTTGGTTCAAAATTGGTCACACCCTTACCATTCCTTGTTAGCATCTTCACTTTGCTATCAGCTTCAGCAAAAAAAGTTTTCTTGAGCATAAGTATCCTGACTTTGTAGTCATTTTGTGAAGCTTACATTTCATCTCACAAAGAATAAAGGATAAAGCGTTTAGCGATGATCAGTCCAAGGAGGATGCCTCATGCTTTCGACTTCAATAGGCATCTCTGAAGGTGACTGAATGCATATCTTCCGTGTACACTGACCTGCGGCGTCAGACCGATATACGAGTCCAGTGCTGCCATTCTCACAGACATTTCCGTATGAACTTGTCGATGCCGAAAGCATGGAAGGCCTTTTTGGGCTCGGAACATTGAATCAAACCGACTATCACTTCAAATCATATTCACATACTTAAAGCTCTCAAGCGTATTGACAATTGGGATACAAAACAGTCTTGGTTCGAACCACTTGCTAAAACAAAATCTTCATTTGGTAGTGAATATACAGTATTGGCATCGTAAGCTGTAGGAGAAAAAATGATTCAGAGAATTTTCTGTCACTTCTAACTACATTAGTCACTAATTCTATAATATGTGGGGCGAAGTCAACCAGCAGGAAATTGACGGTCACACTACTGCCCACTCATTGAGGTCCGACAATCTCGTCACCTCTCATCAGCGTTCTAATCTACGTCCGGCTAATGACCGACCCCAGTATTTGCATGATCTTGTTGGTGCCCCTGATGCAAATGGATACAACAATTTCTCCTCCCAATCCTGATGCAAATGGATACGACAATTTCTCCTTCTAACCCTGATGCAAACGTATTCACTTCCTCCTCCAAAATCGGAATGTTTCATCAACTCAAATAAGATAAGAATAAAATCTAGTAACACAAATATGTAATCATTTCAAAAGTTAAATGATTTACAATAAATCTACTTGGCAACTTCTTCAGATTTCTTTTTTTTTTTTTGCTCAAGTCACTGGCAGAATGTTGAGCCGACATGTCAAATGAAGAGAGACGACTATACTAAACCCATGCTTGATCTAGCCGAGTCGCACCGTTCTAAGATTGAATAGACGCATCATAAAGTGGACAAAGACATTTCGGACCAACATAAATCGGATTGCCGTTTGAGTGAATGATTCGCTAGAATTCAGCATCAACTACGAAAATTGAACATTACTAAGTTTTAAAACTGGCTACTTAGACAATTCAAGCACCCAGAATGGGTATAACAGAGCAGGTGTATATTGATCGCCATAACTTTTTATTGGTCTTCTCAACTACTCCAGTATGCATGCAACTCGTTTGAAATCATTACGATGTGTTGTGCATGAGAATCGTTTCGCAAGCGTGTTTGCCAGAATTGCTACAAATGGAGTGCACACGGAAAGTGTGTGATTCAGGATTAACATCAGCACGATTGCTCTCTTACGCACTGGTAGATAACACGAACAAACCTCACCCTTATTTAGACAAAATCTGAAAGTTAAAAAAATATCAGCCGGAAAACAGCGAGTCACTAAGAAACAAAGCATAGAATGCTGATCTTCAAGGGTTTGTGAATTTTGTTATCTGATTATGATATCGTACTAAATTGGTACCAAATATTTTGCTCTATATCTCTGCATTTTTTGACAGTCAAGGATGTTTTAAAGGTTTTTTTAGAAGATTGACGGATACTGTTTTTCACGTGTTATTCAGTAGTTTCTAGAATTTTGGGTAATGATACTGAAGTTAGAGGAACAGATTTCTGGATCCCACTCACGAACCGAGAATGCGTAGCTTTTGACAGGTTGTTGAAAAAAATATCATTAACAAATAAATAAGGAAATCGAAGTTAAAGTGAAGAAGATGATACTCTTGAAGAAACGAACAATTAAAGGTGAAAAGAGAGTAAG